GACAGGATTAAAAATTTAACATGTTTCAGAAAAAAATATACCTAAATCGTCTTAGAAACAAATCAATTGTATGAATATGTGTTGGAATCGAATCCATGTCCGTAGATTATTATTACGTATAATTTGCTACCATTTAACCATCGAGCTCCACAAAGTTGTTTATGAAGACGAGACTCGTGGTATTAATAATAAAAACAGTAGAATGTGGTCAACTTTGTAAACCTGGGAAAGCAACGGCCTTTAGCAATTTATATCCGCGTTACGCATTTGTATTCAAAAACACACTCTCCCCCTCAATTCCGATCGCCGATCACATAATTCCCACGTGAGGCACACTCTAAATAAAGGAGTTTCACTTACGCCGAGGGCTTTTAAAGCAATCCACCAGACTTGGACATCTTGTAGCTCAAAAAATACTCAATTTAGTACCTACAACCTTTTCTGTTTTTATTTATAATGTGATTACATTTTATTTTTTGTTGCTGATAGTCGGTTCTGCCTCTTAAATTTTTTGTAAATATAACTTACGCCTATGGCTGATGAAAAGCACAAGAATGATCAAGGAATATTATTGCAAATGTTATAAGTAACCTTTGATTATTCGACATGCATAAGAGTACATTAAAAACTTAATTTATTATGTTTTCGTTGTATTTAAAACCTATTAGGTGATTTATAGATTAGTTTAGGTTTTTTATGTTTTTTACGATAGAGAAGACAGACGAGGACTTAATGTAAGGTGAAACGACCCAGCATTATCACATCACAACGAGGTGCGCTCTCTACCTATTTTGGCTTTGGATATTACAACATCCACAAAACGAAACGCTACTTAACTTCACGGCTCTTTGATGTATGCATGGTGGTTCTTGACCCGGGAATTTCGATACTCCTACCACCCATTTATTATCCAGATTTCCAAATTCCAACATATTTCGGAAAAATAAATAAATTAGAAACGTGTACGATGTGATCGAATCCACAACCTTTGATTGTTACATTGTTACCATTACACCAATGAACCTGTTAAATGGTTAACTGAATGTTAAGAATCTTATTACTCGTATTGAAATAAAAACACAACTAGCTAAGACCCGTTTCGGATGCTTTGCAGCAGCCGTGGTCACGAAAAGCTTACCTAAAATATATGGCGTTTTAAACCGTTAAAGTGTTTTATTTAAATGTGTACTACTCGCGTAAACTACAGACAGTAATTACTCGTATACATTTTCATATGAAAACAGAATCTCTAAACGCATCAATATAACTTGATCAAAGACATCAGCTTACCAATGGCAATCAACTCAAATCAAATTGGTAGCGCAATGCAACTTAGCTATTCTGATGCATGTTTGATTTACGCAAATAGTCCGTAAGTGCTCTTCAAGATTTGTAAGTGCCTTTTGTAATTCAAAGTCCATTTGCCCAATGACTAGTTGAGCTTGTGTTTACGCAATTTGTCTTGCAAGCAACGCGATGTTTCCGCCGCGACTTCCTAGAGACTTAGTCTAGGAGCTAGTGACATTTTGAAACAAACCAACCTTCTCATCTTAAGTAATTATAGCTGTGACCCACGTCGTTCGCGACATGTCGTTCTTGCAACTTAAAGAGAGGCATATATGCGGTCAGTTTTAGATCATATAAAGAGGAATCATTCTTTTATACATGTTTTGTTTGGCATCTTAAACAGAAACCCTCAAAGACTAATTATCCCCGTTTTTTTCACATTTCCATCTACTTCTTCGCTTCACATTGAACCTTAACAAGTAAGTATCAAAGTTATAACGATTAATTGCGCGAGAGATATTGATGGGCTAAAGAAATTCCATAAATTCGGCACTGATCTGTGAATGCCACTTGAATGTCTTGCCAGAATCCCTAATTTTTTAATCTAATATCTCTAGGTCTTTATGTTTTTCCAAGGAAGGAGTAGAGCAACCACTAACAGACACTGTCTAGTTTAAAAAACAAAAAACACCTTTTAACGGTTTAAAATGCGAAATGCATTAGTTAAACTTATTTACAAATTATTTTAACTACGCCGCGACGTTTCGGATGCTTTATATCAGTCGTGGTCACGGGGAGCATATGCAAATTTAGGTCGTACTTGAAATAGTTTATAAATAAGTTTATATATACATGTTACATTGCGGGTTTTAATCCGTTAAACATGTTATATTCAAACCTATACTTATATAATATTAACTATACGACGAATAATATCACGTTTAATTATTGACAACAGCTCCGAAGCTATAGTTATGGGAAGCGGTTTCACTGCGAAAGATTGTCATGACGTGCATATGAATCTCAGATGCGAGACTTTAGTCTTTCCTTGTTGTTGCAATAAAAAGGCAAAGGGAATTAATTAACATACTTATTGTTAAGAAGACAAGATATATAAGTATATAAGAGATATATTGATATAAGTACTTAACGACAGCCCATAAGTGTTAGATTTCACCCATTTTGAAGAAAAAGTTAAATAATGTTAACATTTATGTGTTATTTTGGCTACTTACATAAGCCAAAACGTATGAGAGCTACTGTAGCGCTGATCAATTTAACACAATAAAATTAAGGGTTTTTTTTCTGTATATATATATTTTTTCGGTCTGTATGTGTCCAGATCGCATATAAGTCACTAGACCGTCAAATCAATTTAGTATAGAAATATCTTAATAATTCATTTTCTATAAATAAGTGACACACGTGAAAATCAATTTTCCTTTTTCTGTCCTTCCTGAACAATGGAGCGAACACATTTCTGTGCCACTTTCACTGATTTTCATAGTAAGTATTTCATCCAATAACCTGTGCCCTGTCTAACCGAAACAAAGGCGATTAAATATTGAGTTATGGAGGTGGGAATTTTGATACTTGAAGTCGTAAAATCTTCGAAAGCATAAATTTTTTAAATTTATTTTCTCATTATTTCCGACGAAAAAAAAGAATATACACTAATAATACACGGGATCGTTGGACTAATGGTACCAATAAATGGCTAATAATCAATAGATCATAAGTTTGTTCCATACCAGGCCCAACATATTTCTAATCTATATATAATTTAGGTAGAAGATTGATAGAATTGTTGTAGAATACAACTATTTCTTAGTTCCTTTCCGCGACACCTGTGGCGCTGCTCTCTTTTTTGATTAAACAATTGTGCAAGATTGATCTTATATTTAAAACGATAATTGAAACTAAAACAACGAAAACATAATAAAATAACTTAATGTTTGACTCTCTTGCACAAGCCGAATAATCAAAGGGTGATAACATTTGCAATAATATTCGATAACCTAAAGTCAATGTAACTTGCGACGTTGTTATAATATTAATATGTTATTTATATAGTGGATTCCTTGCGATACTGGTCCCGAAGGGTAAGAGAAACTGGTTTTATTTAAATATTTCCAACCTTTGCTTCCACTAAAAATTACCTCATTTATTTCATTTCTACCTAATTGAAAGGTCAAAAGTTTACTTAACTACTTTAAAGTTGTAGTACTTATGTCATAAGTATTGATTTCAAAAATAGCCTTTAAAAAACACGGTTTTAAACGCGGAATATCGTACAGTAGTACACAGTTAACTTATTAATAAAATCCCGACGTTTTATATACAGATGTGATCAAAGCAATTAATGATTTCTACTCTAGTAACCTACAGTAAATATTTGATTCATCAACCATTATTATAACTTGATAACTTTCAGGCTGCGGAATTCCCATTGTCCAAAACAAAAATAGGCCGACAGCGCAACTTATTGCATGTTATACGGCCAAAGTTTACCTTTCGAGTAAACTTACATACCGCTCAACCCCCACTGCCCCATAAACACAATTGATATATGTTTGGAGAAATGTTTAGACTCTCCTTTATCCACTCTACAATAATAGCTTTTGTGTGCATAATAAAAGAAATATCGCAATCAAAGCGGCCGCCGATTGCTACAAAATGTTTTTAAATCGATTGCACAACATAATCTGTTGTCACGAGCAAGGTTAACCATTATTACGTGATCGTATCGATGGCTCCCAATTCTTACGAAAAGCCTACTTTATCTCACTAAAAAATAATGAATTTAAAAATAGAATTGACAAGTGTCAGAAACATTGTTAAATTTTTCCATAAAATTCTAATGAGAAATTGACAGGTTGTCATTAAACTAATTTAAATTATTGATATGTTCTCATCGTAAATAGATCCAAATTTTCTTTTTTTAAATGCATACTTTGTTATTTCTTCACACTTGAACGTGTGACTTGAATTTAAATTTATAAAACCACACATGTACAACAAACAAAAATATAATCGTAATAATATGGTTTACAATTTTGGTGTTGCAATATTTTAAAATCTGTTGTTAGCGATAGATTTCATATTTTATCGAATTCTAACCAACCGCGTTTTTGCTTGCTAAAAGTACAGTGACTTAGTTTTAAGGCAATATTTCATGTAACTACCACAAAACGTTACATTTTGGGTCATGGCGCAATTGGATATCTGAAACCCACATTTACGTTTAGTTCAGCAAACTCAGTACTAACTAGATGTTGACTATATTATATATTATCTTGGAACATTTATAACTAGGTATGGCTTATCTGTACTAATATTATAAAGCTGAAGAGTTTGCTTGTTTGACCGCGTTGACCTCTGGAACTACTGGTAAGAATAAAAAAAACTGTTTTTGTATTGGCTGAACCATTTATAGAGGAAGGCTTCAAGCTATGAAACATCTGGCTGCGACGAAAAGGAGCGAGATTGGAAAAACTATGGTCGCGGGCGCAGCTTGTTACCTAATACTATGAGCTATTTTAAAAGTTACGAAGTGATTAGAATAATTATGGCTTTCGCTTATACCGTTAACATATTCCATAGCGGTTACCGCAAACTGATAGCAGATAATAAACATAGAGGTATACAAATATATAATTTAATCAACTTTTTTTTCGTTACAGTGACGTAAAAATGGGGCGGTAGTTGGCAAAATGCGGTGGTTCCGGAAAGGCGAGCCGCCGCGGCTGCTCGCCGTGTCACCAGAAAGCGAACCTCGGACTACACGACCGTCTAGAATAGGTAAGATTAATTTAATATTCATGGAATTCAGAATATTGACCATATAATACAACCCAGTAATTAGTACAAAGTTTCACTACCTATGATGTATTTTATAGCTAGTTATTTATTTTACTATATAAACTAATTGATTATAATACAGACACTATCGACAGAATAAAGACCAAATAATGAATTTATTTATATAACGTAGACACAGTTAAACATAACTTCAATTATCAAATTTAATTAAGTATAATAATAATTTTATAACTTATGTAATCTATTAAAGTTAAGTAGTGTCCCTTCATATAAATTAAATTATGTAGTTTATTTTCGTGTCTTTTATGTTACTGTATCTTTTATCACTACATGGTATAAAATAAAGTCGCTTTTTCTGTCTTCAGTGCACTTAAATCTTTAAAATTACGCAATGGATGTTGATGCGTTTTTTTAAATAGATAGAGTTATTTAAGTGAACATTTTTATTTACAATGTTCACAGTTTTTTGCTGTATTTAGTATTGTATATTTTACTTTTCAGATTCGTCGCCAGTTGGCTACCTCAACCGTAAAAGCAGTAGCAGCTCGGTAGAAACGAACTTCTATAACCTAAACGATCAAGTTATAACAGTGGAAAAAACTCCACACACGTGTCGAAATGAGGAAACACCGATCACAAGACGCATATCTTTGCAAAACAGTCCAACGTCGCTTCAGGAAAACAGTTCTAGTCGCAAGAACCGTGGGGGTTCTCTAGAAAAAGAATACATGGTTTATCGAGAGAAACGCAATCCACTACTCGATAAAGTTAAAAACACGAAGCTTTCTTGTTTCAAGTCAACAGGAGCATTCAGATACGGTGACGACGCGACATCAACTTCTGGGAGCGAGTGCAGCGGTTTCGGACACGTTGAAGATATTAATCAATGTCGTTTCGGAGACTCATATCCAGAACGTCACATCGAATTCGAGAATCACAATCCGTGGGTTAAAATGCAACATTACGAAGATGATGTATTCTTTGCTAAGAGTCCCGTGGAGTGCAATTGGCGTGAGGGTAAATCGTTCACAAACCGCGGGACACGATGCTACAGCTCAGGGTCTGAGTGCGACCGCTATCATGCTGTTCCAAAGACTGCCACTAAGCTATCTAAATCCAGTGATCAAATCTTTAACGATGATTATGAAATGTATAATGAAACCCCCGTCGTTACAAAACCAGATAGAAAGACTGATAAATTTAAACATATAACTGAAAAAGACACCATTGGGCCTAGTTCTTGTCTGTCAGCTAAACTCCGGGCTATGTCTGACAGGTATTTCAAATCTTCAAATAGACTTTTATCTAAACTGTATAGAAATAATGAAGATACCAGTAGTTCCATCGAGAACGGGCCTAAATCTAGCAACAGTAGTAAAAGCCGTAAAAAGCGAGGCGGAGTGAAAGCGAAGTTGCGTAGTTTTTCCTACGGCGCTTTACCTGGACTAGAAGAGTTCCAAAAAAGCAATAGCGCCGTGTTTCACGATGACGTATTCAATGTTTCGTGTGACGACGAAAATGTTCTAATACAAGACTGCGAAGATGCCGATTCTGGTATTTTAGTCAACGAATCGGCTGCATCCTCAATATTTGATAATGATAGAATACCACCTAGATGCGAAAGTTCCGCATCGCAAACGAATTCTCAAATTCCATGTCACAGTAGAAGTGTATCAGGTGATCATAGTTATCCGAAAGTAAGAATCTCTCACAGAAAAAGCAGAGAAAGAAGTGACGCTCCGAAGCCTAGGCCTAGAAACACCCAAAGAGCTCTATCTTTAGATCGGAAAGAAATATTAAGGCGAATGCCTAAAAACTGTGATAATGAGGAACCTCAATATCTTCAGTTAACAGAGAAACAGAAGATGCGTCAAAGAGATGCTAGTCAAGGTGATTGTGGTATCCCCCCTATACCGCCGTGTCGAAAGCCAACGAAGAGTGCAGTTAGATCGCAATCAGAGTTCAAAGTGGTTAAGATCATACGAAATAGTCCATGCGATGAACTGGGTATATTCATTGCCAAAACGAAGCTTTCTGATGAAGGGCATGTGGGTTACTTAGTAGCTCATGTTGTTCCAGGTGGTTTGGCTGACAGGTGAGTTACAATATTTTTTTCTTGCAAGGAATATTTAAAACCTCTGTAGAATTATCGTTATACGCATTGCACGTGCGAGAGGTCATGTAGTTCATATTCCAAAGAAACAAATTGTTTCGGGCGGACTGGGCATACAATTTGGGCTTTGTTGTAATGAAAAGAAGACACAAATGTGCTCGTCCCATGGGGAAAAACGGGATTGCAGAAAGAATATATTTTTGGTAGAGCACGGAACGCTGACGATGCCGGTTCAAGTCCTGCCCGAGTCGAAAATTTTTTCAAGTTATTTTCGATTTTTTTTAAATATATTTTTTAGCAGTTAATTGATTTTATATCTATTTACTAGTTACTCTTATTTCGGACCAGGTAAACCGTCAAAGAGTAATTTATTTATTACTTTTTCAGCTTATTTTTTATACGTAACGATTACTAAATTACCTTTTTCATCATTCCAGGGAGGGCTCACTTCGAATCGGTGACGAGTTGCTCAATGTTAACGGTAGAAGACTTCGAGATCTCACCATGTCGGAAGCCAAAGAAGCACTAAGGTCTGGAGCGTCAGAGATCGACATAGTCATTTGCAGACAGCGTGAGACACCAGAAATAAGAAAGCGGGAACTGCCTCAAAAACCCGCTTCCCTAATGCGGGAAAGCTCCGTCGACTATGAGAATGCAGTTATATTAGGGAAGGAAAGAAGCGGCGACAAATATGACGTAAGGATATCACGTCAGAGCCAAGAGGAAGCCGCCTGTAATCGTAACGCGTTATCAACAAACGGACCGGACAACGCCACGCAGTTACATTTCCTAAAGGGACAGAACGCGAACTACAGCAGTATGAACAACAAGCTCTTGCGCAGGCAGGTCGTGAGTTACGGTGGTGTGAAGGAAAATCTGGTGTTAAGTTGTACTGGTGATGTGGACGTTGACACGCCAGATGGAACAGAACGCGATGTCGAGAACGAGGAAGACAATGGTATACAGACAGCGAATGCAGCTAACTTTTGCACTTTACCCCGTCGGCCGCGTGCGCCCACGCATACATATCATACGATAACGTTCGAAAAGGGCCACGGAAAGAAACCTTTGGGGTTCACGATCGTAGGGGGGAGGGATTCCCCTCGAGGTCCCCTGGGCATCTTTATCAAAAGCATTTTACCGCAAGGACAGGCGATTGACGATGGCCGTTTAAAAGCCGGTATGTATTTACAAATGAGAACTATAATATATTTAATAAATTTACTTAATGATTATGCTTTAACGTATACATCGATACATATTAATAAACATATGAAATTTACCAAACAATCCGTTATTATTTAAATAAAACACTTCAACTTTAAACGCGATATTTAACTATTTTTAAAATATTTTCCAAATAAGTTTAACTAATATATATCGCGTTTTAAACGTGTTTTAAGTGTTTTATTTATATGTGTAGGTACTCCTCGCGTAAATTACAGACAGTATTCGTTATTAATTTATTTTTACGTAGCATTTTATCTGTCACGTACTCATACTTGACACTTAGAGATATGAACTTGCATGCGACATGATAAGAAAAGGAAGTGATATCGTAATAATTCGAACGCATCGCGCATTCCACAGATCGCTATCAAAACCAGTAGGAAGTACAAACTAATATTATTTTATTTCAATTACAGTATTTCTTACTTTGAATTCTGTTCTCTTATATCCCGCAAACGTAGTTGCTATGATGGCATGACTGTATCTTTCAAAATATACCTAATTTTTTCTTTATAGAATATTCTAAAAAGAATTATCTTTCTTAACTTGCGATTAATTTTATAAGAAAACACGGAATGTGCAATACAAAGATGTGAAAAATATTAAAGTTTTCAAACTTCAATTAAGTATTGCCTGTACGCGAGGAGTACACATTCATGTAAAACACTTTTAATGGTTTAAAACGCGGAATATATTAGTTAACTTATTTATAACATATTTAACTGCGGTCTAACGTTTCGAACGCTTTGCAGCAACAAAATTCATAATCACTACATTGTTTGTAAATAAGTTAATCCATATTTTCGCGATTTGAACAAGTTTAATAAAGTAATTCTGTTCTGATTAAGTATAATATTTATCGTGAACAGTTACAAATATTAAACAAAACATTTCTTGACCTTCTAGAATTTAGATGAACTTAGAACGACACATAAACATTTGTGTTTACTAATACATAGTGGACTACACATTCGAGTTGTAAGATTGAATACTTACGAAATAAGGATAACCTAGCTATCCCCAAATATAAACTCCATAAAATATCTAATTCAATTGCGGGGAATTGTATTCGTATGTAGGCACATTGCCACTTAAGGTTTCAAATTTTTGAATAAATAAATTTAAAAAAGTTATAAAATTTAGATTGTCTCAAAAGGCGTATTATTGTCTGAACGATTTCTTAAATGACAAGACCGCCTGGCAGTAATATGGATTGCTACCTAGGTTAATAAATTCACAATGTATTAGTTTATTAGACATGTTTAAAAAGCCGGGCTGAGTTTCTTGAGCGTTCTTCTCAGTTTTGTAGCTCTTTTGAACACTAGAATCACGACTAACAGACAGACAAACAATAAATTTGACGAATCTAAATAATTTTTAAAATTTTAAAAGGAGAATAAGGTATATTTTATTTTAGTTATTTTGAATACAAACCTTTTCAGGAGATGAAGTTCTTGCTGTGAATGGTCAAGCGTGTCACGAGCTGGCTCATATCGAAGCGTTGGGGCTATTCAAAGCAGTCAGAAGTGGTTCTATAGAACTGAGGGTTTGCCGCAGGGTGAAAACAAACCAGTAAGTGTATTTTCCATTTATTTTATGTTAGAAGACAACAGATAAGCTTGATAGCCATACTTTGCTAACATTAAAATAACGAGCCTGTGACAATTATACCCGTGTACACTTGTTCCTATAAATAAATAAAAACTTAAATACTGTCTATAGTTTACGCGAGTAGTACACATTTAAATAAAACACTTTAACGGTTTAATACGCGGTATATTAGTTAAACTTATTTGGAAATGATTTTTAAACGTCGGGCCGAAGTTAAAAATCATTTTCAAATAAGTTTAACTAATATATCGCGTTTTAAACCGTTAAAGTGTTTTATTTAAATAAAACTTGTATTTTGTAGTAAGTTTAATAATAATATGTAGAAGAAACAAGAAAACGCAGTAACCGCAGTACATAGTTGGAATTCTAACAAATTATTTTAATGAGTATAATTTCATATTGGTCTTTAAACGTTGGAAGGTATGACAAGACGAGAGTCGAACACACGACTAGTCGTAGCTCGTATTGATACAATGACTAAGCTGCTAAAACGTATGTTTTGTTAAGTTTTTTAATAAGTACAATACTTTTTCCATGTATATTTTTCTCACAACAAACACATTTCTTACTATAATGAGTATGAAGTATATAAATAAAACACTTTAACGGTTTAAAACGTGATATATTAGTTAAACTTATTTGAAAATGATTTTTAACTTCGGCCCGACATTTCGGATGCTTTGCAGCAGCCGTGGTCACGGGGAAATAAATAAGCTTAACTAATATATCGCGTTTTAAACCGTTAAAGTGTTTTATTTAAATGTGTACTACTCGCGTAAACTATAGAGAGTATGAAGTATTTAATTGCATAAATATTTAATTATTTCAGATCCGCAAAGGCCAAATCCTGCACAGACCTCCTAAACGACGACGATTGAAAATGTCAATATTGCCATATAAACAGAAATTAAGACTGGAATCATCGCTTCAGGGTTCGCATTCGCAAACGAACAGAACAGATGGATAGAATATTTTACTGGCCTAGTATGCGCGCCACGATAATTATGTCTACCTTTTTATGTTCTCGCGTTGTATTGTCGCCAAAATGCTAGCATTATTATTTTATTTCTCATAAACCTCAGAAAAACTTCATTCGGTAGAGGTTGTTTTGTCTTAAAAACCCTGACAGACATGGTGAGATATTGTCTTTTAGGTACACTTTGGCAATTTAACACGATTAGAATTAGTCTACATTTTCGATAAATATATGTCGTAGCGCGCTTGCTAGGCAGATCGTGTTATCATATAAAATATATATCTACTAGAAAAGCAAAAATAAATGTTTAACTAATTTATAAGCATTGTTTACGCTTAAGAAAACAAGAAAAAAAAAACACTTAATGTTTTTAAAACGCGAAATATATTTAGGTAGAGATATTTTCCCTATCTTTGCAGTTCTCAAGGGGCGTCGTAAATTGTAAGTTTTGTAACAATATTTTGTGTTTTAAACCGTGAAAAGTAATTGACTTAAGTAATAATGAGATGACATTATCACGTGCCATTTATCACCATAAATATCCCTTCTATCACCCATCACTTACTCAAACGCACTTAACAGTTACAAATATGAAAAAAAAAAGTTTTATTATAATGTATCCCAAAGATAAGTGTCGTAGCTTTATTGTTGCTACACTAAAGATAACTTTCTTCTGCCTCCCCCTGTAGTCATGTAAATATGTGTAATTATTGTGTAAGATTATATACATATATTAGCTTAGTGATTCGATGTATAATTATCGTACAATGTACGTAATATCGTTTTTAGATCTAGAAAATTTCAAATTATATAGCAATTAGATTGACATGTGCAATGCAAAAAATAATGCAACGCAATTAGAAGATAAAATTGTAAACTGTTATATTACTTATAATACGATCTGATTTCTGTGATAAGATGTTATACTACAGATTTTTTTAAACGGCTTCTTCATCTAAATTTAGCTCATTTTCTCTTAATTTCTATATTGTCTATAATAAGAAAGTAAAACCATTATATATGAATTATTTCTTAGAGCCAAAATATCCTATACTGCTTACGATATAACTCAACAGATATACCTAATGCTTAATTTGTACATATCACTGATAATTTCTTTGTATCGAATTTTTATCTGGAATAATAATCTGTTAGAAAATTATTTATCTTTTGTTTTTTTATCCCTTCACTTGACTGCAATAATAAATGTTATTATGGTCTGAACAAACTATTTTTTAAGTTTCTCTGCTTGACAACAGCGACATCTGTCATTACACAATTAAACTTGTTAATAAGCGCCATCTTGTAAAATCTGGTAGTACTACATTGTCTAACTTACGTTATTAACATTGAGATATAATATCATATACGACTGATAGATGGCGCAGCTCGTTTGAATTTGATCCGACGACAGGTGAAAAGGAGCTAACGATTTCACTAGTAAAATATTATGTCAGTGTTATTAATATTTTTAGTAAAGTTTTATTTTTATTAATAAATAGTTCTTACTATAATTATATTTAAAAAAAACCACTGTATTCAGAATTCGCCGAGACACCGTATAAATAAAGGACTTAATTAACCTTGTCCTTGAAAGCGAGGTTCTGGACCTCTGTAATTCTTTGCTCTGAATTCTTCTGATGCAGGTAAGTTGCAGTATTTTAAAGAATATAGTCAATGTATTAACCTGGAGTGGTAATTAGTGCTTATCATGATCTAAAAAGTTCCGCAATTTAATATCACGCAACTTCCTTCTCTCTTGAAGCAGCTTCTTCGATTCAATCAGATTGTGATGTGAAACTTTCCCTTTTATTAAATGACGTTTAAAAACAGCAGGTTAAGTCGATAGAAAATTCAAGGACCGATTTTTCAAAGACACTCGTTTTTAGCACGGTTAGTAATCTGATTTAGTGAAGTTACATTGTTTGTGATCCCGTTTCCACTGAGGTATGGGGCGTTTGTTCGTGACATTGATCAAATATGTTAAAAGATTATGTTACTTTGAAATTCGAACCTAGGACCTCTTGCATGGTACTATTATGGCTCGGAATCGCTTTACGGCAGACAATTTAAATGGAAGTATTGATAGTAATGACTACTTATGCATTTAAATAAAACACTTTAACGGTTTGAATCTCGATATATATTAGGTGAAGTTATTTTAATGGCGTTAGAGTGTTTAATTATTATGAGCATTACACGAGTAAACTACAGACAGTATTTAGTTATACATTTCTTATTAATAATCTCTTAACAACACCCTCATTTGTTGTTTCAAATCTTTTTTTTAGCATCACGAAAAAAGCGTGCCCATTCAGCATTTTCGACACTATTATGAGGCCTACATAAATTCAACTGCGTGATAGATAGTGATACAACCGGAGACCGAACCCGCGACCAGAGTTAGTATTAATGAATGTTATAACGGTTGCCATAGCAACGTCTTGTTTGTTGGTTTTTGTGTTCCAATTACGAAAATAGCGTTATTTCAGTTTTCATGCTTCGAAACAGGTTTTAAGGAATTTCAGTTTCGGTTACGTGTGAGATGTGACGCAATGTTTGCGTTATAATTATAACGGAAACGCCGTTACAACACTAGTCCTATCTACCGGGATTCACTCGGCGATAGTGATAATTTATCACACTCACCGTGTTTACTTGATAAGCCCTGCCTCGTGTCAACGACTCGTAATGACTCTTTGCATATTTCCTAATTTATATATTTAACAAAACGATCGCAAAGTTTTAAACAGATACATATATGATTTAGCTAACTGTATGTTAATGTGTTATATAATTTAAGTATTGTCCTATGGTTTATGTGAGTAGGATAGATTTAGGACGCGAAATGCATTTGTTAAACTTTTTACTAATTGTGTAACAGATGGCGCTAGCTTAGGACTTATCACCATAAGTATTACTTTGGCTTTAGGAACTGTCCTTAAGTCTCCTAAAGACCACGGCTGCTGTATAGCATCCGAAACGTGGGTCTGTAGTTAAAATTAATTGTAAATAACTAATATATTTCGAGTTTTAAGCCTAGGGTGTTTCATATTTTGATACAAAATGTACGATTTTTATTTTATCTATATCTCTTTTATGTCAATATGACTTTATCCCTGATCATGATATGCATGATAGAGAAGTTCTATATTATATTCCTAGATATTTTATATTCTATAAATGATGTATAATAACGTAATACTTATTAAATTTACAAGGAAATGCTTTCTTGTGGGTTGCACTCTCTTTAGACATTTCACAAGTAGCTACATTACGACCCTTAAGGGAGTTCTTGGTTATAAGGGGTGTCTAAGTGCCCATAAAACCCCAAAATATAACATCGTAGCTACCACATAGTAATCTTTTTCTAGTATAACACGTTAAAAATAGACGGAACTAGAGTAACGTTTTTTCAAATCAATTTTATTCAGTCCACTGCCTGTAGTTTACGGGTAGAACACAATAGTCTATTCGTAAAACGAAAAAAAAAAAATTATTTCGCGTTTGGAACAACGGGTATTATTTTTTTGTTATACTATTTCTATATACTTGTCGAAGCGTCTAACTCTATTCAATTCTGATCTGGATGTCCGTAACATTATTTCGGTCACACAGGTTTTATTTATAATAAAGTTTATTTACTTGCCTGTAAACAAACTTTATTAGAAAAATGTACACAGAAATATGTTCGACCCAAACGAGGTTATTGTTTTTTATTGTTTTTTTTTATTGCGTTTTCCCTAAAACATTATTTACTAATGGATCCAGCAGCGTTCATTTGTCAAAAATAACCCATATTGAATTACATTTGAGCTCTCTCTTTAAATTAATATACACTATACAACTCAAAAAATGTAGGTGCTAATTTAAAAGCATTAACTCGATGGCAAAATGCAAAATACGAATACAAATTCAAAATAAACATCCTAAAGAAATCTGCTTTTTCCAAATATTTCGAAAAATCGTTTACAAATTCAGGCGAACCAGCTAGCAAAAGCTAGTTTACTAAGCCCTAATGTATACGCGCTTATAAATTATAATAACAATTTGTTCTGTCCCTGTATTCATTTGATAATATATAGCCGGTCCGCATCCCAGACGCATCTAGCTAGATTCTTAATGACTCGTAACCAACCACTGATGGCGTCCTCTCCGTGCCTCCAGGATATCAATCATGGTGACTCACGCGCAGAAAAACCATAATCATAGCCGTTATTAGAAGTTTAAACGACTTTTTAGTTATGCGATTACATCATAATTGTATCTGATAACAATCTAACTGTTTTTGTTGTGAAATTGCTTTCTTCCTTATTAGAATCGTAGATTGGGTGGCAATGTCATTACCTCTTCAGCAAATGGAAGAAGAAGAAGCTGATATCGAAGGTAAAACGCATATCAGCTATCATTCACATCAATGTAAATCAACTTACTGCGTTCTGATAAGTAATAATGTCTCTTGCATTGCACTTCAAATAAATTGTTTTAAATTATATAATTATTTATTTTGATTTTGTTTAAAAATTCTTTTCGTGAAACCTCTTCTCCTTCCAAAATAAGTCAACAGCACATCTTATTTTGATGTTATGACTGTTCTCTCTAGTTCGTTCTTCGCCCTTCATTTGGGAATTTAAAGTCTTTAGTTTTATCCCGGTTTGACTTTTAAGTGTACCTAGTTACCTACATGAATAAATGGTTATTGACTTTGGCCTTCCATCAAGTCATTTGTCCGTCCTCCCCTATCAAATAAAATCCTCACAAAAATTCGCCTTAATATTTAAATCTCCAAATAAATTCAGCATTACAGCCAAACGATACACGTTATATCTTCTCTAAACATATCTTCAGCTTCACAAAGCTCCAACAAACTAGACCTTGAAGAAACCTCGCCACTTTGTAAGA